AAAAATTCAAATTAAAGAATGTGAAATTTCTCTATAGAGAACGTGTATGTTGTTGGTGTAAGAAATTTTTTATACCATCAGAATATTATTACTTGTTGTAATAGGTAAACATATAGAATGTATACTGACAATGTATATAAATTAAAAAATATTGAAACATTTTGCAATTTGCATATAGATGTATATATTTGGTATATACCTTGGAAAGGGGCTATTTTTTACTGCTTTTTGTCCATATTTCCTCCATCTAAAACCATCATCCAAATGATCAACTTCACTCTTTGTCATGAATGCAAATCTTGGCTCTTTTTTGCCCTTTTGCTTCTTCTTATTAGGTTTTAACCTAAGCCAACAAAAACTCATATCACTTTTTGCAAAAACTTCAAATAAACAAGAAACCATTAATTTCTCGTATGATCACTTTTCTCTCAAGAATTAAAAAAAAGAAAGATAACTTTTTTGAGATAATAAGAGCGGACATTTGAGAAATCACCTAGTCAAAACTATTGAAGATATAATTAAGGAAAAATACACTTTCTTTATATTTTTAAGTATCAATATTGTATCAGAGCAAACATAGATCTTTGTTCAAATCAAACCACACACCTTTCATTAAACATTCTTTTTTATATATTTGACCCCAAAAATAAATCAATATGTGTAAGATCATTTAAACATTACATTAATATTATGATTTAACATGTCTATAAAAACTTATCATATAGGGTTTACTTAAACTAAGTAAAAAAGAAATATTTTGCTTACTGTTTCTTATACTTGTGTTGATGATCTTCTTGATAATCATTAGCAGCTAATTCAGTTGATGATGAAGAAATCGACGATAAATTTGGTGTTACTGGGGCATTATTAATCAAATGATCAGACAATATTGATGATGATTCCGGAACTGATGAACAAGTAATAAAACGTTGTTGTTGATGTTGCTGTTGAGATGGAAACATTAGCAAATCGAAAATAGAACTAGTTGTAGTATTATCATTATTATAACAATCTTGATGTTCATCAACACCAAACATTGTTTCTAATAAAAAACTTAACGAATAATCTTTTTCGATATCAAACATGGTGTTGGAGCTCGAATTTCCATTTCCAATTGAAGTAGTATTTGTTATCTCTGTTTTTACATTATTTTCTTTTTCCATGGAAACAGAGAATGTAGAGGATTTTTGTTAAGTGTGAAGAGGACTCTTTGTGTTTATATATATATTAGTGTAATAAAATAAAAAACAGGGTGGTCCAACGGGAATATTTTTGTTTTAGATTTTTCCACCTAGGAAATCGAGGTGCAGAAGCAATTTGTGTTTGATTAATACTTACGATTCAAACGAATAATAATTAATATTTGATCAAACTTTTTAACGGTACTTAAATATCTTAGTTTCTCAAAAGTAGTTATACATAGATATTTGTATTGTTACTAGTTAAAGATCGTTTCATTAAGGTTAAAATAGATATTTTAAAATTAAATTATTACTAAATATAAAAATATATCTTTTTTTTAGACGGACTATAAAAAATAAATCATATAAATTAAAACAGAAACAAAATTTCAAAAAATTTATTGACTATCTTGATTTATTAAAATAAACACTATTAACCTTTCAAAAATTCTATAAAATGTGTCATTCAAGTGTTGGCAAGCATTTTCTTACGCGTTATTGTTGACCGGCTACCGGAGATATTTAATTGAAATTAAAATTCTTTCTTGGGATACAAGAATGTGTCTCTTTTCTCATATATTTATTTCCTAGTAATACACCTCCGATTTATTTTTATTTGTTTAGTATTAATTTAACAGTATTATTAAAAAAAATAACAAATAAAAATAATAATTTTATTAAATCACAAATTTAAATATAATAAATAATAATTATAGTTAACAACAAAAATAAATTAAGAATAAGGGTGATTTCTAGTATGAAAGAGAATATTTTTCATTAAAAAAATATTAATTTCTTACTTATTTTTTAGTGTTTGATAATTAAGCAAAAAAAACATTATCTCAAAAACATATTTATGAAATCTAACAATGGGAGTCAAAGCGAGTGAAGAGTGGGGCCTCGAAGGTGGCGGGCAGTGGCGGAGCCACATGTAGTTAAGGGTGTCGATCGACACCCCTTCGTCGAAAAATTACGTTGTGTAGCTAGAGTAAAAATATTTTTTATGTATATATATTACATAGTGACACTCCTTAGCTTCTACACGATTTTATTTCTTTATATTTTGACACCCCTTAGACAAAATTCTAGCTCCGCCATTGATGACAGGGTGTATGGTCTAGGAGTAGAGATTATGTACGTTGGGTGAATGAAAATGATACAATAAATATAAAATATTACTTATAAAACTTATTTTCTCCACTTCTATTAAAATTATTTTATTAGAGAAAATATTTTTCAAAAAACTTTTTCGCAAATAAAAGTGGGCGTATGAATCATGATACACGTTATCAATTATATGCAAGCTACAGCTAAGACTTTAACTAGTTTCAACACCATGCAATACATGAACAAGTCGAGTTTCACGTCACTACAACAGCGAAAATAGCTTTTAATAGCAATAGATATACGCAGCAGTCAAAAATGCTAAAAATTTATTGGTATTGATTAATTGTCAGTAGATCTAATATCACTATAAGTTTTAAAAATATTTACAAAATGTATTAGTCGCATCTAATCAATTACCACTAAAAATTATTTTTGATGTAGTATATATATATATGCTCGATTGAATTGATAATCTATATTGTAGCTAGCTCCGCCCTTGTATTCTTAACGTTAAAATAAATGAGTAAAATTAAAATTTTATTTTTAATATAATGAACAAATTTTTACTATAATCGAAAATAAGAGTGTAATTTTTAGAGACAGAGCACATGCTAATCTTAACGCGTTTTCTACTTTGAGCTCTAATCATGTGACAATAATTTATAGTCCAGGTTTTACGTTCATTTAACGCTCTATTATTTTATTCGTTTTCCAACTTTTTCTCTGCTTTTTATCCAATATTTGTATTCTTTTTTCTGATCATGGTCATGGCCCATATATGATACTTCCTCCGTTCTATTTTATGTGATATTTTTCGAATTTTGAGATTCAAACAAATCTATTTTTTATCATAAATTTTTCATAGATCTTTTAAACATTTTGAATTATCAATTATTGTGACTTATAGTACTTTTTACGTAGTTTACAAATATATAAATTTCATTTCAAAAAATTGAAGATTTCATGCGCAAATTCCCGGTCAAACATAAATTGTTTGACTCTCGAAAAATGAAAAGTGTCACATAAATTGGGATAGAGGGAGTATTTCTTTAATCTATTCTATTACTTTCTCCGTTTCAATTTATTTATTTGATTTTGATTTGATATGAAGTTTGAGAAAGTAAAGAAGATTTTTCAATCTTGTGATCTTAAACATGTCGTGTTGAAAGTTGAAACAAAAAAGATCGTCAAAAAAAGGAAGTATTTTTTTTCAAATGTACTTAAAAGGAAAATAAAACAAATAATTTGAAATAAATGAAATAATACTTCTTTCTTGTTTTTTTAATTTTATCAATGTGGCAATGTAACAATGTTCATATTTCTTTGTTATTACTATATAATACTATGGTACTTTAAAATACAAATTAATTAAAGGTTACATTAATTTGCTTCCCTTTAGAGTTTAGACTACTTTTTGTCATACAAAACAGAAAAAAAATATGGTCAAAAAACAGTCATTGGATGTGTCCAAAGCATTCAATTTTTGATGTAAACTAATTTCTGTGTCAATTAAATTTGTCAACACGTAGTTTTGAAATACTACAAAGCCCCCCCCCCCCCCGACCCCACCCCACCCCAAGCACACACAACACACAGTGTCTTTACTGAGGAGACAATTTACTTTGTCAAAATGGTATCAATTCAGCTGAACTCTGCTCCCTTTTCTATAATCATACCCCACCCGGAAGATGATCAGTTGAATCTCGTTCGTCAGAAAGAGTAAAATATAACTTTTGTAATTTTATAGTATTACCCATGAATTGATCAGTTTTTATATGAAAGACTGCAATTTCTTAACTGTCGTGATTTCTATATAGTTTAGCCAGGGGCGGCTCAACGTACTTGGTGGCCTAAAGCGAAAAATTTCAATTAAAGGCCTAAAATCTTTTAGCTGAGGCAATTATTATATAAATTGTTAACATTATTCTATAAGTAATAAGTTGACAAACTATTTATAAACCTTTTTTTTATTGGTTTAAAAACACATGAAATGAATCAATCTAAACAGGCTTGTAATACACTTTATCCAAAACATGATTTTTACTATTGATTCATATTTTTGATAGAGCTCTAACTTACATATAGTATAAAAGGGGTCTAGAAAATTACATCGCTAGAGCTAGTGAAGAGAATGTAAGAAGACAAAACAACATTTTTCTTGATTTCTTCCATTTGATTGAGGTTAAGGAAAATAAAATAATATATATTTTTTAAAGAAAAATACATTTGTTTTAGATAATTAATTTTTTCTATAAAAACAATTAGCACATAATTTATCGTGGTAAAAATTAGGAGCCCCCTAAAATTGGAGGCCTAAGGCATATGCCTAATTCTTATAAGCATTGAGGCGGCACTGAGTTTAGCACATTCGTTGTTGTTACTATGGGAACCCGAAGTACAAGGAGATTTTTTTTCAAGGTTTCATGCATAATATAACACTAAGTTATGGCCATACGGATACTTAAAATCTTGAATCCGCGTCTACCTGCCCGTTTCTAACCCCAATGGCAGAAAACGCGTTTCTGATCATTCAGTAAAGCCATACATAAATTAGATGTACCATAATGAATATTTGACCTGATGTGTGAACTCAAACCAGTACATGCGGCTACTACATTGTATTTAGGAAACAACAAAACAAACATGATAACAGGTCAGATATTCTTGTCTCTTAGCTCACAAATAACTAATGTCTTAGAAAAATTGCTACACTTGATGCAAAGATTTAACTCATTAATGATGGCAAAACCAAACAGAAATTCATGATCTTTGCAACAACAGTTCAAAAATTAACCAAAAAGATATGAATCGTACTCTGTGATGCAATGTCATGTGTCTCATGATTCTTTGGGAGTAGTAGCTTGTCGAAGTCGACGTTGATGAACATCCCAGTTGTATACACGAGCAGTTGTGACCTGAGCCATAGAAGCTAAAAGAATAAGCACAAAAGAGCATGCCAATGTTTCTAAAGATAAAAGTAGAAGAACTTAATGCTCCCTCGGTTTCATGTTATGTGTCTTAGTGTGACTGGATACGAAGTTTAAGAAAGTAAAGAAGGTTTTTTAATTTTGTGATCTTAAACTAAAGATGTGCTTATTGAACCAAAATACCCTTTGAATCTTGTGTTTCTTAAACATGTCATGTACGATGTAGGAATTAAAAATTAATGAATATAGAAAGTTAAAAAATAGACTAAAAATTAAAGTAAGACATATAAAATTGAAACAGAGGGAGCAAACAACACATTGCAATATTGCAGCACTTCAGTGCAAGCTAAGTTCTACCTAGATGAGAGTTAATGGAGAACACCAGAATCTACCTGAGTAATTGTCACTTGATCCCTCAAAAATTGTAGATCAGCCACAAGAACCTCTAAACTCGCTTTTGCATTTTCCCAGTTTGTTTGAAGAAGTGCAGTAGCCTATACAGTGAACAAAATGTGAAGACCAATACTTCCAATATCCAAGAAAGCATGCTTTTGAAATCTTCCATAGCTAGTTACATACCTCTTCGCATGAATACTGCAGCATGACATTTGCCCCTAGCCATAAACACACAGATTCAGCATCTTCAATCTTAGCCCGGGAATAAATACCTTCTGACACTTCAAAATCAGCGACTAGTGCCTGCAACCAACGCGAACCAAACCAGGAACAATTCAACTAATAAATATCAAAAGACATAAAATACTAATAAAACAAAAACTGGGGGGGGGGGGGGGGGGGGACATTGGCTGGAAGTTATTAGTGAAGTAAATCAGGGGTAGAGTCTCTCAACCTTGTCCGACTTTTGTTAAAGCAGTTACCCATTTAAAACTCACCAATTCAACTATTAAAAAGTAATGAAGTGTAAGCAATGGGCTATCCAATTCTTACCCAACAATTTTAAACTTAACCAAAAATAGAACTGATTTGAGTTCTACTGTATTTTCCTTTCCATACTTGATTTTATTATGTTTTACTTGAGCCGATGGTCTATCGAAAACAGCCTCTCTACCTTCACAAGGTTGGGGACTTAGCCGATACTGGTCTCCCACAGTAAATCTCAGTTTCAAGGAAGTAACTCAATTTCTGAACTTCTTCACCACTACATATATCATATAAATACGATTTTTGAATTGAAAACTTAATGCTTTCTCACATTCAAATTACAGACCTAATTAAATAAAATAGGAAAGTAGTCTACTATATCAAGATTCAACTAAAATGAAAATGTCTAAGAGTGCTTCAGTAAAGTTCCATTCATCGGAAAAACATGTAGCACTGAGACAAACCTCACTGCTGTCCTTCTTAGCTTGCAAAGTAGCAACTATATCCAAGCATTTCTCTATGTCAGGAATCTTTGCCTGCGTAGAGTGAAGGAGTAGTAGTCAATTGTTCACTTGTTAGCAAAGATAACAATATAAAAACATCAAGCAGTTAAAAAGAAAAACTCTCAGAATGACTTAGACTGATCATAGAACAGATGTCAAACATGTAAAATTCAAGGCATTTGAGCAATACAACAGCTAAACAGCAACTTATAAATGGCGGAAATGAAAATTGTCCAAAATGTATGAGGCAATCTATATTTAGAAGGCTGGATTAAGAGGACACTCCCAAATTCTATATTATGTTATGCATAAGATGTAACAGTTCCTTTACACCACTATAGTTGGAAACTGTTCACTATGCATGTTTGGTGCATTCGGACAAAGAGAAAGAGACAGCACTTTCAGAGGAAAGACAACTTCCAGCTTTTAAATCTTGGTTTTTGTTTGGTAGATCAATAATGCTTCATAGGTGGCAATAGTGATGTTTAAATATTTTGGATGGAACTTCTTCTGTATACATTAACCTAACCTGTCCATATTTCAATGGTCTTTTTGTATTGGGCAGGTATTCCCCCCTCTGTGGCAATCTTATGATATGAATTCAACCTCTACATGTCAACAAACGAATTCCCTTCTGTTATCGAATTCTAAAAATGAATCAAGAATTACGTAAAAAAAAACCGTACTGACAGCTTCCAAATGTGGAGAAACCTATATTAATAAAGGAAATTGTAAAAAGGCATTAGCCTTCTATATTTTGAGGATTCATGTAGTCGACCCCAACTAGCTTGGGATTGAGGAATTGTTGCTGTAAAAAGTCATTACTCTGAAGAGTGGCGAAATTGTAACCCTCATATGTTGGTCCCATTACAACTAAGTTTGGGCATGTGCTTAAGAAGAGTATCCTATATATAGCTTCTGCATGGAGCAATAGATTCCAAACACACATTCTTAATGTAAATTCTATTTTGATCTTTCTTTCAATGACATGGGAGGACTATCTCAGCTTTAAAACTTTTCATCTCGGGAATCGGCAGCACTAAATGCAAAGACTAAAGTACAATTCTCTAACTTCCGTCCACCTTACGGAAGAATCAACAAAGGGCTAGAGTGACATATGAACATCTTCTCTTTTGAATTGCATTATGACACTCTCAACTCAAAGTACGAGTCAAACCTGAGAACTAAATATTAGGAATTACTTAAATAGGGATGAATACTGTGAAATTAAACAAAAAAAGTGTACCTGAAGATCCCTCTGTTGGGCCAGAAGTTTCATTTCAACCACTCGGTATTGCTGAAGTCTGCAAACGAACAACATATATTAAGAAAACAAAAGGAGACCATAAGTAAAGTAACCACTGATTAGAATTTCTAAGGCAGGACTAATTAGTCTGTTCTCGTATCTAATCTGGAGCTTATGATTTATTAGTAACAGAAATAGTCAACAGACTGCATGAGATACCATTCATAAAGCTTTGTTACATGAGTTCTATGTTTGGACTGTATTATAGGCCAAAAATCATAGGATTGAAACAAAAGCAGAGTTTCATTTCTGGTTTTTGGGTAAAAAGATAAAACTTATTTGATTTGCTTCTGAAAGACAAGTAGAACACAACATGCAATGATGCCAAATATGTATAAATTGATCAACCGAATTCAGAGGTATCTTAAGTCAAACTACTGTCATCTGTTTTTATTGAAATTTTACGCAATTAAGAGCACGCACTCCATGCTACTTTTGTTTTTACGACGCTGTATAGATGATACAAGAAAGTGTAAGCAAAGAAGTTATTATAAGTTCAAACCTACCAACATTTGGGAAGGACTTCTAGAGACTTAGTAGAACGATAAAAGGACATAAAGACTATGGGACTTTGATAATAGAACAACACAGATACTGAATAACCACAAATTCCAGTCATTGCAAACAGAAGTACACACACTTTTCATATTTGTAGTCATACTGGTGAAGAAAGCAAGAAAAGGATAGCGATCGCTTTGGGAACGCATCCAATCGAAGTTGCATTTTAGTGCTCCCCTAACAAAGAGCAGATGGATCCTATCCCCTATATCGAACACTCATTCCTATCTATTGATAGAAAGATCTTCATCCCGCAGCTCAGGGAGAAAGTTCCATAATGTGTAAACACCTCAACGAACTAATGTGGACACTCCTCAGCCCAAGGACGGGGACCTCGGGCCTTCGCAAAATCAACGGTCTCAATGGGAACTAGACAAGCACCTAGATGAAGTCAGCCCGAGAAAAAGGAAAAAATTGACGTTATTTAGTCACGAATGGATTTAAGGATCTGATTGCATAAGATTTGATCTATGATTTGTAAGGCTGTAGTGGTCTATTGTCCCTCTCTTTTTCTCTCATCATTTCCTTCTCTGCTTTCCTGTCCTCGTTATTCCATCGCACTTAAATAAGACCTCACCCTACTTATAAGTGTAATAGAATTTCCAAGGCCTAATCAGTTACCCTACTTATAAGTGTAATAGTATTTCCAAGGCCTAAACAGTTTTTTTCTTTTTTCATAATCATTCACAAAACTTACACAACCACATAGTCAGCCATTCCATTCAATTTCATGCCAACGGTTATCAAATCCAAACCTGCTCATTCAAGTTTGATCACCAAAAATTCATATTGCTTTAGATTTCTCAGCAGCCCCAAGTACAAGGACTCCATCAGAATTTAGTGAGAGACTGACAAAGAGCAGAGAGAATATATCGGTCAAGGTCCTACTAACCATTTACTATAATGCTTTCTTTAAAATGAGTCAATATAGCATCTACTCCTATTGATTATTTTTTTTCCAACATGCTAACTTTTCCTTGAACCAAGGGTCTATCGCAAAACAGACTCTCTACCTCCTACAATACAGGTAAGGTCTGCGTACACACTACCCTCCTCAAACCCCACTTGTGGGATTACACCGGTAATATTGTTGTTGTTGAGTTAATATAGCATCTAAGTTCCTACAAGAAAAATGTCACTAAAGGTCTGATCTTTGCCTACTATTTCACCTTCAGTTTAGATAAAAGTTAAAAATCAGAAAGGTTCAACATTCATAGAATAACAGAACTCCCCAACAATACAATATACCTGAAGACTGAAACTTTACTTGGTGAATAAGCAATTTCCAATTAATATAACTGAAAAATGTTTTTCAATATATGATGACTTATGATGCACTCAAGGGTGTAGCTTGGTATCTAAGTGCGAAAAGCTGACCTAGACACCATGAATTGGGTAAAACATTTCCTACCAACAACAATTACTATGCCTAAGTCGGAAATAAGCTAGGATCGGCTATATAAATCCTCACTTGTTCATTTAAGCTCGTTTCAAATCATCATCATCATACAAAAATCGAAAACGGACCTTTCTTGTAGGAATGCAAGAGCAGAGTTAACATCGAGACCAGATTGGCTGAGATAGGACTGAACGTCTTGTACGAATGATGCCGCCGGTATACCTCTTCTCTCCGTCACTTCACTGGTGTATGACGAACACGCCGCCGCCGCCGTCATCGCCGTCCAAAGCTACTTTACTGTGATAGATTCGGAAAAAAAAAATCGCTTCAGTAGTGAAGAGGAAAGAAGCATAAAATAAGAACGACGCCGTTAGATTCAGTGAATTGAACAAATTTTGACCAATGGTAATTATTCCACGCCAAATGTGTAATTTAGGATTATAATTTTAAATCACAAATTCTTCCAAAATATATATATATATATATTTATTTTTAAAAAAAAAAAAAATGAAAAATAAAACTTGACTTATAAGTTATAAGTTTATATTTTGTGAAAAAAGATTCATTATTTTAAAATTTGAAACAATAATTCATTGATTGTACCATATAAAATGATTATATTGAAAAATAACTAGTTGTTCTTATTGTTTATTAGTAGATTTTTTATAAAATTATGTACATTTGAAAGTTTATAATCATAGATGTTTATTTATGAGAGGAACATGTAGATATGTAATTTGTTAATGTAGCACATTAGAATTTCTGATATCTTGTTCATGAACTATGATTTGTTCATTTGATAAGATTGTCTAAGAATTGAAGAAATTTTAATTATTATCATTTTAAAGGTAAAACGTATCTTATCAAAAGCGACTTGATACCTGGAGCTAGATTCCTATTTTTTATACAACTTACAATACTTACATTCTCTACATGGCCTTGTATCTTGTGGTTTATTATCTGAATAATTTTCTCGTTGCTTTCAATTGGAGAAACACAATAATAAAGTAGAAATTGAATATTTATTACACCTGCAATATCAATGACAGATTTAGAATTATCAGGATTTTCACTACAATGATTCAAAAAATTGAACTTGAAGGATTAGTTATGACATTTCAATGGTAGAAAGGTCAATTTTGAACTTAATAAATTCAAATTAAGTACTATTAATTATCAATCAAGGTAGAACATAGTACATTCTTTACTCATTTGCATGTGCAAATCATCATATATATATATATATATATTGATATCGATATTTACAGGCCAAAATAATATTGGCTAAATCGGAAGGATTTAACGTCGTGGCACGAGCCAAAGTGTCATGATTGTGAGTAGGTAGGCAAGATAGCAAACAGAGAGACCATAAGATGATTGAAGATGGCGTTGGGCCAAGTTTGGAGATTGGGCTAATTCAAATGGGAAAGGAAGCCCACTCAGTTGGGAGGGATAACTATGGGGAAATATTCTTGTACACTGAGAAGTCGTTTGATGTACGGTTTAAGATATAATTATCTCGACATAAAATATATGATTAATTATTTTAGGAAAAATTAGATAATTTATACATACTTCACTATCATATATATTATTATTACCTACACTTTTAAAACATTACGTATTTTACTATTAATTAAGAGTTTCCAACATATCTTACCCTTAGATACATGTATTTTGCCATCAGATACACGAAAATAGGGAGAGAGACGAACGATATTGGGGAGGGAATCAAGTGAGATTTGTATGTATCACAGATGCAAATGAATCACACTGGATACATGTATTTGTACGTATACATAGGAGAATTCGCGAGCGAGATGAGAGAGAGGCGAACGAGATTTTCTATTTATACTAGATACATGTGATCCACTTGGATACAATGTATCTTGAACAAATTACACCTAAATTTGACCCCATTTATCTGAGATACATGTACTAGGATGTGTCTGGAGGCATCAAAATCTGGTAAGATACGTAATATTACAAACTAGAGTGTGTCTAAGTAATTAGCTACTAACCTTATGAGATTTATTAAGAAGGTATTAAATAGTTCTTAAATTATCTATCCTACCATTTATACCATAATGATAGAATAAGTTATCATGACGAAATAACTATTCATAGATAACTTTTCATATTTGATCAAACAAAAAGAATATTTTGTGTTAGGTTTGGGAGCATAGGTAATGATGATCAAATTAAATTAATGAAGGACTCAATTTTCGAAGTATTTTGAGATCTAGGTTTTTAGAAACTGTAGACCATGTTAATTAAATTAGAATACATATAAATTATGAAGATGTACTCCTACTATTATGAAATCACCTACTACACTCAAATAATTGAGGCCAGAGTGGTGGACAAAGAATACACAAGAGTATTGAGTCGAACTCCTTTCCTTATAATCAAGTGGCTTAAGGACCTCTTTAGAGATAAGAGAAAGATTTGCCCCAACTTGACGAATCACATACAAAATGTGAGTCTTGAGTTGTGAATAGATATTTTATCTTTTTTCACAAGTTATCCTCGCCTTAGTATTAAATATATATATTTTTTATTTTCCATCCGTTGTCCGGAGCCCACATTGAAACTCCGACTAAATCCAAATCGCGCTCTACAGGGCCCATTCGGGGGTGGCACTCCCAACAGGATTTTCTCCATATCCAGGGCTCAAATCCGGTATTAAATATATATATACTTGTAGTAGTTAGAGTTAAGATTTCAAAACATAATTAATAAGATTACTTTGATAAAATACATATTTAATTAAAAATATTTAAAATGGGCGTCAAGTTGACATGGATTAAGTAATACGAAAAGTTGGACAGTTTAATAAGATTACTTCTGAGGTGCTATATAGATGGTCCAATTGCTTTTTTTGTATGATTGTAACAATTTAAGCTCATGTCACATATTTGTTCTTTGAGCTATGTCATAATTAAATTAAAAAAAGAAATTTTCAAGAATCAAAGCGAATATTAATGTGTGCCATAAGTTTGAATTGTAACAAATATATGATATTAGTATTTGACACGAGGGGAACATATGTGATACATCTAACACAGGATGAACTAAAAAAAATATCGATAAATTTTAATTTTTAGCTAAACTTAAAAGCTTTTAAGATTGAGTGAGACAATAATTGACCTTTCAATTATTTTGTTTAGCACATGAAAAAGTAATGATATATACATTGTAATTAGTTTTAGTTTATAAACATTGAAATATTCTCTTAAGAAAGTAATTTTCACCGATATCTAGCATCTTATTCCCTTTATAAAATTATTTTCAGAAGAGTATTTAAATTTTCACCAAGGATAACAATAATTTAATATAATAAGATGATTCCTTACTCATAATATAATGTTTTAATTTTACTTTGGATATAGATAAACTATATGAGCTATAGAAAAAAAAAGTTACGGAAGATACTTATTAGACTAGGAAATCAGCAAGTAAAAAATTGTTATTTTACTATTCATCCATACTAGTAATCATAGTAGAGGTGGACCCACGTGATGGGTTAAGGGTGCAGTCGTGCATCCATTAATTTCAAAAAAATAAATCGATAATATGTATATTATACCTTCAAGAACCATTATATTATTTAAATGAATTCTCACACATATTAAGTGAGTTAGGTCACTTGATTAGCATGCAACTTAAGCTCATGAGCGTTGCTGCAAAACATGAGCAACCTAAAAGTGGTCTCCAAATCAACTTCATCCAACTGTGACATTTAATTTAGCGAAAAGGGTCTGATATACCCTTAATCAACTTCATCCAACTGTGACATTTAATTTAGCAAAAAGGGTCTGATATATCCTTTAACTTTACCATTTAGAGCTGATATATCTCTCGTTATGAAAGTGACTCATATTTACCCTGACCGTATACAAATGACTCACATATATCCTTACCGTTACAAAAGGAGCTCACATATACCCTTCATCTAAAGGAAGTGAAAAATTAGTTTAAATTTTTTTTTAAAAAAAAAAAAATTTCAAAAAATTCATGTAGGGGTATATATGTGATCCTTCTAGCAAAGTTTAAGGTATATTTTAATATTTTTCATACAAAAATTATTTTTTGACTTTTTGACTATCATTGTTCGAGTTTATTATTCTTTTTTTTTCTTTCATTCTTTAGTGTAAAGAAAAAAAAATTAACTATTTTTTTGCGGCTATATTGTAATTTAGTTTTTGTATTTGTAAAAATAAAATAAAAATCTAAAATAAATTTTACAAGAAAATTAGTGAAACTAAATAATATAAATTTAAATTAGTCGTTGAAACAAAAAAGTAAAAAAAATGTGTCAGGAGGATCAAATATACCCCATATGGATTATATTTATTTCAAAAAAATAATTTAAAAAATTAAATTTAAAATTAATTTTTTCACTTCTGTTGGAAAAAAAAGGTGTATGCGAGCCATTTGTATAACAATAGGGGTATATATGAGCCACTTTTATAACGATAGGTATATCAACTCTAAATGACAAAATTGAGAAGTATATCAGACCATTTTCCTACAAAGACAAGTAGGTGTGGAATTAGAAACTTAACAAATAATGAATCGATTCATCCACTCTCTCCATATAAATGACAAGTTTTTAGTTATTGTAAGATATGAATTTTTAAGAAAAGACAAATAGTAGAATATTAATTTTCTATTCTATTTGCAATATTAATTACTTACTCATCAAATTATTTTTTCGATATCAAATCATAATTGTATTCATATCTATCATTATTTAGTGAGGGATACAAAAATTACATTGTGGAAAGTATAAGTAACGGAGAGAGTACTTGTCGATTTTAGCATTACTAAGAGAAATATTTTTTTTCATATTTTACGCTTAATATTAATTACGTATTTCTCAAGATATGAACTACACATCAATTAATATGTTTGAAATTCTTGTGAGGTGCTATAGATCTACTGGTCCAATTGTCTTTTATTAATCAAGATGTGAACTACACATCATATAAATGTTTGAAATTCTTGTGAGGTGCTATAATCTACTGGTCCAATTGTCTTTTATTAATCAATTGACCTATATAACCAAAAAAAGAGTGTATATAGCACGTGGATAATTAAGATATAATAATTGATGATAATTTAGGTAGTAAAATTTCACCTTTTTAGAGAAACAACATAATTCTAAATATTAAAAAAAAAATACATTAACAAGATAATATCAGCATATCGATGTGATGTTTACATGAAACAGCAAAATTATTCATACAATGTCTAATACTTATTCCACAAGTACACTCAAAATAGTAGTACAACAGAGAATTGATCAACAGGGTTGAAAGAAAATATAGAGAAAGCACATAGAATAATCTATCTAGTGATATGCGCGATAAAATAATCTAACTCCATTTGAGAAGCACCCCCTTTCTCTGTAGACTTCCTCACGGCTTCCCCCAATTCTTTTGCTCTTTTCCTAACCTCGTCTCCTTCTTCTGATGCCATTAACTTCCTCACGACATTATCAATGGTGGATGCAGTGACCACCTCATCGCGTTTCTTGTCCCATTCCCTAATAACCAGGCCAATTTTCAACATTTTTGTTAACAAAAAACCATTTTTTGGGTGGTCAGAGTGTGTGGGCCAAGCAATTATTGGGACTCCCATAGTAATGGTCTCTACACAAGAAGTCCAATCACACGCACACAAGAACCCACCAATGGATGAATGAGCCAAGATTTCTGTTTGTGGTGCCCAATCTCTAACCAGTAATCCAACCCCGTCTAGTCTTTCCTCAAACCCTGCATGAAACTCAAATTTTCTTTTGAGGTCTGCCCCGAGATAGATATCTCCATTATCAGGATCGTATAACAACCATATGAACTTTTGTTTGCTAAGCTCTAAACCCATTGCGAGCTCCTTAATTTGTTCATCAGAAAATGAAGTCAACAGATCATAAGATACGTAAAGAACTGATTTTGGAGGTTGTTTGTCCAACCAATCCAAACAGGGGAATCCGTTTTTTTCTTTCTTAGTAGGCCGGAGAACCGGTCCTATTGCCCATTGCTTCTTGTCTTGTCCAATTCCAAGCAACTCGATAAAAGCATTAGTACCTTCCATTACTTGGCTTGTATTATGAATATCACCCGCAGAACTATTCCCTATATACTGAACTTGAAAAGATGATATCCGCATGATTTCATCGCAATACCATCCTTCAGAGGATGGTAACTTTTGAAGTAGTTGTTGTTCAATCGGAATAGGCAATCCCACATGAGGAAATATGTGATCACAATACATACCAAAGGCTGAAATCACAGGGTTAAAGATGTAGGACTCTGCATTATCGAAAGATGAAATATCCTGAACATTATAAGACATTAAACAATCATAAATCATGACAATTCGTCTTGATTTAGACGAAATATCACGTAAGAAGGAAGTAATGGACTGGCGGAGATGCATGGTAACATTCCAGAATAAGTGGAAATGTTTAGGTACTTCACTCGGGATATCAGGGTCGAGTGGACTAGGAGTCATTTGGAGGTCATGGAAATGAATATTGGCTAAATCGGAAGGATTTATCGCGGTGGCACGAGTCTTAGTGTCTTGATTGTAAGTAGGAAGGCTAAGATAGTGAACAGAGAGACCATAAGAAGAGATTAGGCAAGCAAATTGGAGAAAAGGATCAAGATGACTTTGAGTTTGAAATGGAACCATAACTACAACAACTTCATCACCTAATTGTTTCTTCAAGTTTGCAATATTCTCAGTGTTATCCATTGAAAAGACACTGTTGTTTTTTTTGGAAATGGAAATGTTTGATAAGAGAGTATTGGATGAGGGTGGAGAATGAGAGTGAGAAGTTAAAAGGAGTTATTAAGTAGGCATTTGGCCAAGAACCCAAAAATTATTTCACTTTATTTAAGTGATTTTTTATTTTTTTATGAAATTTCTAAAAACTAGCAAAATAATTTAACTTTTACAACTCTATTTTTTTTATAATACAAAATATCAGTACCAGTACTATTGAACATTGAAAGCAACCACATGGAGTCAGGTCTCTGTCTCTCATAACATTGCAAATAAACCACAATGTTTTACTATTGAAAGAAGCAAAATCAATAATCGTAATACTAGCTATTAAGAATAATTCTCTCTATTTCATATTAAGTAAAAATTGTGAGACAATGCACATCTATTAAGAAAAATATTTAAGGTCATAATTTAAAGGAAATTTTAGACAAATTCTACGGTGTTAAGAGCTAATTACATTATATTCATGTTCTTTTTCAAATTACAAAAAATTCCTTAATTTCAATGGAATCCGGGTATATCCCAAAACGTCCTGGTAACATCGTGTCTCGATTTCGGATACATCTCTCAACATCCCGATACATCGTGTAAAGTAATATTTCCGAGAATAGAGATGTTTTGTAATTTTTTCAAATAGATAAGGAATTTTAGAGAATATGGTAAAATAAATTGTATATTTCGATAATTTTTCTTAATTTAAACAATATTTTTCACTATTGCCCTTCGTGAAATTATAAATATAACTTTTTAAATAGTGCAGTTTATTTTTTAGAAAATATAAAACTTTATTAAAGCAAAGGCAATTATATGAAAAAACATCTATCTTAAACTTTAGTATTTCCTATCTCATAACATCACTAATAAGCCACTTTTTTTTTTTTTATGATTGGAAGAAGCAAATCAATCATGCCGGTTGGCGCATTTATTTGGTTGGTGGAAGTACTTAAAACATTTTCCTGTTTGATTGATGGGTAAAATAAATAAAATAATGTTTTAAAATAATAAAAAAATGGACTAATATTTCAAAATAGGAAAAAATGTACTTATTTTATTGTATTCTCTAAACTTCACTCTCTCTCCTATTCTCGAATATATCACTCTTACGCAATGTATCGGGACGGGTGTATTTTGTATCAACAAATGCATTGGTGGTATGCGAAGTATCCGGAGTTGAGTGATGTATCGGGACAAATATGTCCTGTATCAACAAATGTAATGTATTAGAACGCTGAGTGATGTATCCGAAATCCTTAAATTTTAAGAGATTTTGTAATTTGAAAAAGAGTAAACATATGACGTTATTAACTCTTAACACTATGAGATTTGTGTAATTTTTACTTTATAGTAAAAGTTGGATGGTTCTTCTTCCCCCTCCCCGAAGGATCAATAGAGTTTCTACTTATCCTATAATGTTGACAAAAGTCTTCAACTACTTGAGCAAGCCTCATTTGTCAAAAGTTTCGCTATTGCTTGAGTTGAAAACACTATTTCTTTTAATATGTTGAACAACTATATTAAGAAAAAAAATTAAAACTATTTTTGTAATTTTAAAAATATAATGTAGCTTTATAAAATTATCTTACCCATGTTTTAATCTCTCTTTTATTTAGATGCTATAAAATTGGGCCATTAAAATTTGTGCCAGTCACATTGTGTTCAACCCATATGGCTGCAAATATTATGTAAACAAAATCAACTATATAATGTATCGATATTATATAAATAATATATAATAATATTTTGATAGTATATCATTATGTATCAGAGACGTATATACAATAAAACATACATTACAAACCTATGTTTCTTCATTTCAAATTTTCTCTAAACAATCCCAAAGTATAAATATAAGAAAAAATGACAGAAATCCCACCTTTAAGTTCTCTTATTACCATTATCCCCTATTAGTTTTATAAATCCCCAAAATCTCTCATTTATACGCATCAGATTAATGTATCAGCGCATTAGATTAATGTATCTCGCGCATCAGATTAGTGTATCTCACGCATCAGATTAGTGTATCATGTATAAAATGTACATCAGATTAATGTATCATGTATAAAATATAATGTATCTTAGTTAACGATTAATGTATCTCGCGCATCAGATTAATGTATCAGCGCTTATATTATTGTATCCGTTTGTGGGATTTCTGTAATTATAAACTTATAAAGGATAAATAGTAATTTTTCCTTAAAAGTATGTAATTTCTGTCATTTGCCCTAAATATAAACTCCTCTCAATGTTTCGAGTACATTAATTTTTGTCTAATTTTCTCAAGATAATAATAGATAACCAATGACTTTCTTAGGCCCATAATAAATGGGCCGTATCTAGGCCCAATATATGAAGAAGTAAAACCCTAATTCCAGTCTCTGGTAGTATATGTACGGCTCCAATGCTTAAAACCCTTCTCAGTTCTTTTCTTCTTCTTCTTCCTCCTCCTTGTTATCTTTATCTTTTTTAATTTCTGATTTTTATCTGAATTATTGTTTTGCCTTTGAATTAAAACTGTTGAAATAATTAAGGATATGGTTTTATTTCTCTGCATTTTTATGCAAAAAAAAAGAGGCAGAAATTTATTGCAGGAAAGTTGAGTCGCTTCACCCGTATTGATTTTTACTAGGTGCAGTGAATTTACATCCTGCTATATCTTCCATATTTTTTTTTTTTGAAATTATATAATTTTTTGTTTGGGGTTTTTTCCTATGATGGTATGAAATCTTTGAGACCTGAATTCTCTATTTTGATGACAACTACAAGCAATTTTTCTGAGGATTTTACCCCCATTGTTTTGAATTTTACTAAAAAAAAAATGATTTGATTGATTGATAAAAATTACACCAAGTCTGTTTATGTTGAAAATAAACGGGAGTTTAGTGTATCGATTTTATTTTTGAGATGATGATCGCACTGGGCTCTGAGCAGTTTATTAAAACTGTTTATATTGATGCACAATTGCTGCCTAGAAAGCTATATCTGATCACTATTTTTTTTTTTATAGTAAATTAGGTTTAGTAGGCGTTTGGACATGTCATATGAACATGCGATTATTTCATAAATGAAATCCTTGAGATGTCTAGATTTAGGATTTTTCGAATATAAAATTGACCTAGTGAAAATAATTTATTTCATATAAATAAAATTTATACTTTTTAAATTATTTATATCTCATATTCTTATACATTTCTACTTATTTTGACCAATAAATGACTCAAAATTCTAGTTTTACATGTTGTTATCAACTTTATATCATCATATAAACGGGAGCGCTGGCTGCGTATGCTATCCGAAAGTGGACAATGGCATATCCAAGTATGAACTGGAATTAGATTCTGCCACACTATCATACAATGTCTATACTAATTCCACAAGCATACTTACAATAGCTCGAGATTATTATCACTTTGCCAGTCGAATAGTTCGTGACACTATGGTGTTAAAAATTAGTCCTAGTACAGTAGATTCAAAAACCAACAGCTCATGATGATTCAATACCCGTATTGTTTTACCAGATTGCAATGAATATAGCTGCTGTTAAACTATCTAACACTCATTGAATCACTTTGGGGCATTGGTAGTTGAAGGATAATTAGGAAAAAACATCTTTCTGATTCTCTGATATACTGGACTTGACCATTCATAAGCTGTAGGATTCTTCTACACATGCTTAGCCCTAGACCTTGTTGAGTTACCCACTGACTATTATGGAACATATCTTGGATCAATTCATGAGGAAGACCTTCACCAGGACAAACAATCCTTTTCCCAGAAAACACACACACAAAAAAAAACAACTACAAGTTAAAAACATATTATGGTGGAAGAATGTTGATATAGCTCATGTACTGGAAAAAGTAAAAGTTACCTGAACTCAATATGTACCATAGTTACTCCATCTGAAATTTGATTTATACTTGGTTGAAGATGGACTTCTACCCACCCTTGTTGGGATGGTGTGTAGCTTGCCATAATCTGCAAGAAATCAGCAAAAACCTGTTGAATTCTCACTTGATCTCCATAGACCCTCAATGTCTTGATTTCGTCTGGAATATCCCGGATAAGTTGCACACCTCTTTCCCTCAATAATAACATAACTTGGCTAACAACAGCATCTATCACACTCGCAAGTAAAAATTCTCCTTTCTCAAGCTCCAGTGAACTGTTACAAGTTTAATGGTTAAATCATCTTTGCAACAAACATTACAAATTGAAGCAAAGGAAAAATATAAAACACTTGTATATGGAATTACCCATCCTCAATATTGTCCAGATCAATATCCCTTATGATCTTAGACATCTGTCTCTCACAAGCAGCACTTGTTTCCAGAAACTGCTTCTGGTTTTCAGTCAATTCTGTGGCCTCTAGTAATGAATTTGTAAAGCGTATACCATTTAGAGGATTCTTTATTTCCCGACAAATGTAAGCCAACTCTTTCATCCGAAAGTTACTAGTCTTTTCCTGTTGTCTCTGCATTAGAGTTCTCTGCAATTCAGGACTTGCAATCTGCAAGAAACAAAAGGCCCCAATAATTTGGCCATCCACATTGACTCTCTTGTTTGCAGTCAAAAGAGCTTGAACAAATTTTCCATTTCGGTCAGAAAAGGAAAAAGGGAATTTGTCTATCTCCTGGCCTCCAATTGCCTTATGCAACATGATCATGAATTTTGTCATGGCGTCTGGGCCCTTGAGCCGGCAGAAAGTGCCAAAAATCTCACCAACCAACATTTTCCCAATGATTTCTTCTTTGTTCCAACCACTAAGTTTTTCCATTGCAGTGTTCCACTCAAAGCAACAAGTGTTCTCATCTGATACAAAAATGGGCGGGATCAGAGGATTAGGGCTGTGCATAATGGCCTTGTAATCACCTTGTATGCGAACAAATTTGTCCAGTACAACTTTTTGGGCGGTAATATCCTGGCCAATGAAGCAGACACCAACAATGTTATTTGTGTAGTCTTTGCTAGAGCAAGCATTAACCACCACAAAAACAGTCTTCTTCAGTTGCTCAGCTCCAAATGTCCTCAACTTTATTTCTATGTTCTTATCGTCTTCACCTGTGATTGGTTTAGCAACAATATTAGGTTTATCTCCACTTTCATTTTCTGTAGGTGGCTGGGACACGAAGAGGGTGGATACCAATCAGTTTCAATTACAATGTGCAATATACTCAAGCTACATAAGCGCTAAAGAGAGAATGTTGACACCCACTGTCGGGATTAGCCTGAATCTGATATTAAATGCAACTTCATTTTATACACCCATGGCTCTGAAATCACCTAGAGTTGATCAACATTGAAACTGACCTCCCAACATAACTCATCTCATGATTAAATCAGAAAGCTTTGACACAAGTTGTTACATGCTAAATGATCAATAAAAGATCTTTGATTACTTCTCATGTTTCCATTTCAGGTGGTTTATGACATGGTATGGTTTCTGGGCTAGCTTATCACAATCTAATCAATACTTCATATGTGCTAACGTCTAACTTCTAAGTGCATAGTGACAATCCACACTGCTAACATAATAGCACTAATTAGTGGAAATTTTTGCAAAGAGTATGGGAGGCGATGTATAGGATTATTTTGAAACCAAAAAACAAAAAAAATAGGAGAGGAGTGAACAGTTGGTAAAATATTAAATATTTCTGTCAGACCAGGGTAAACACATGTTTATGGATATCATAAATTAGTCAATTCTTATCAGAAGCAGTATATAAATCTCTATGAACCTGCAACCTCTAGTTTACGCAGGGATATGGATGATATACGTTTAATGTATTAAAAGTGCCAATGTCTAAACATGAACGTAAAAAGAACACATCTTGCTAAGAGATTCTTATCCGTAAAACCAAACATGCAATCCCTCCCATTCGCACATCCTCTTTCCTATAAATGAAAGACTAAATCTCATGATTTCATTTACTTTTAATGGATGGAAACATATAAGCAACCATCATTTTGTTGCATGATGCCAGGAGGAATAAGTAGTGATCACTAGAACCCGTGATGTCTTTGCCACTAAAATTTTAAAAACAAAGAAGAGCAGACAAGAGAATAGTCACTCAATACAGCCTAAGGAAACTCCATAGATAATGAAATGCACTTATTGGAATGAAAGAAATGTAAAGCAGATTGGTTTAACCTCTTAAAGCATTGCGGAGAAGGTTCTCAACAGTTCTTTGTGATTCTTCATGGACAAGATCATGAACCAACGACTTCCCTATTGCTTCTTCAACTGACAACTCTGTCAACTCGGCAACTTTAGCATTCCATCCATTTATGTGACCTTCAACATCAACGGCAAATATGGGTGCTGTAGCAGTCTCTACCAATCTAACCATTTCTCTGGCAACAGATCTCAGTTCATCCATCCCTTGCAACCCCTCTTCCCGAAGCTGAACATGCACAATAGCCTTTGAATTACTTGCCTCAGCATCCTTGAATGAATCACGTAGTATAAGCTGCAAAGAGTGAATTGCATCCATTTCTACATTCTCCCATGGTAAACTGCGGCTCTTAACAACTTCCAAAAATGCATTAAAGGAAGAACGTGGATGCATTTTCTGCCAATCATCTTTGTCTTCTGGATGATGCTTTGCACCACCCCACTTTATCTCGCTTGCAGTGTGCGAACGGAACCAAAAAAGGAAGTATTTTGAAGTTACATAAGCAACAGCCATCCCACAAACAGCAGCACCAAGAGAAGCTGCCTCAGGATACCCTGCATCAGCCAAACTATCAGTACTTAGGCCTGTTGAGTCCACATGACAAGTTAATAGCCACTCCACAATGCCCTTTATTTGGGCTTCAGTAGGTGTAATTCCCAAAGGATAGTATCTCCCCTGGTAGTACAAAGCGGCCCCATCACATTTCACAAGGTCGACAATACTTGGGTTCTGAGTAACAATCCCCGTAGGTGAATCTCGGAGAAGCATGTCACATAACAGTGTCTGTGTCCTCAAAACACGCTTTTCAGCCAACTGCGATGCCAATTGTAATTCCATGTTTAGTTGGAGCCCGAATGCCTGCATAAGGAATTCACAGGCATAACGAAGGGGGTAAGGAATGAACCGAGTTGAACTGTGGTGCCCAACAACCAACCCCCATAATCTCATTGCATTTCGGCCTCCAGCAACTTCATCATCATTTCCATTTATAACAACAGCCAGTGTTAACGACGCAACATTTCCCATATTGACCATATACTGAAGGTGACAACCATGAGGAGCCCTAAGTGTTGAGCCAACTAAACATAAAGGCTGCTTGAGTAATTCATCCTGAATAACCCTCACAGGTGTGGCAGTACAATCCACAATCATTCTAACCCTGTTCTGCTTAAACAAGAATCTTGATGCTTGTGGAATATCAGTAGCTGGATAATGCAAACCAATATAAGGTTCCAAATCCGATCTTCTACTCTCCGCCACTACCTCCCCATGTTCATCATCATGAAACTTATACACCATAACCCGATCATACCCTGTAAGCTCCCTCACACTCTTAACAACAGTATCACACAAAAGATCAATATCCCCACTAGGTAACGATTGCAAAAGCGAAATAGCTCTCACAGCAAGTTTCTGCGATTGCACAGCTCCAGCAATAGACAATGCAGGGTCTTCTGTTCTAGCTGGCTCTAAATCAATCACAATCCCCACATCAATCCTATGCAATATCGCATAAAAGGGTTTCCCAGAATTCTTCGAATGAACCCAAATCGGATTCAACAACGTAATTTCACGTGCCCCAAAAGCACCTTCAAGCAAACCAGAA